TTTAAATTGCATATTTGCTGAATATTTGTATTTATTAATCTAGTTTATTTTTATTGCATATATCTTTTCTCTTTTATACTCGTAATTGTAATGTTTTCCTTTAAATATTGTGCTTACTTGACATTGATGCATGTATTGTATTTTTTGTATGTGTATTCTCTGTAAGTGTCTGTATGTGTTTCGTTAGAACGCCTTCTTAAATTAATAATTTAAAATATACTAACTCAAAAATCTCTCTAAAAGGTTTGACCACGACTACAAAACAAAGGAACGACGAATTATGAATTAAGTTTGTATCTGTTACAGAAATATTATATAATAAATTATATTTAGTTTTGAACGCAAATAACTCAAATTAAATATATAAAAAGTAAGTTGCAACACGCTCATGAAAATAATTTATGAAAACATTTGGAATATCTATGCATTCATTATTCTATACGCGTAGGCGAAATTGATCACAAACGTACTTTTACAGTCAATGGTCTAGAAAATGGGCTTTATTCGTATGGTATAACGGAATAGGAATAATAACGGACAATAGAGAAGTAGAAACATTAATCTTCGTTTACGGACTTTTAGATTTTGTTGATAAAATTAATACAGGGTAGGATACGATCCCAGATGTTTCAACTCTTCCGTGTACAGTGTTTGTCTTATAAATAAGTAAGCGCACTTCCTAGGTACACAAATTTATAGGACAATTTGCTGCACACTATATCTTTGAGGGCATCGTTATCTGTCGAGCCTTTAAATAAAGGATGCCAAATATTTAAAGGCCGTCTATGCATTTGCAAGCCGCCCGACGGTGCCGACTATAAACAGCAATTGGCACTTAATGATACAGTTTACAAAATGTTGACATTATTAAAAAACGAGAGAAAAGTATTTAGAGAAAACTAAATTAATCATAAATCAATTTGCTTTCTTCTAGCAAAAGCGAGGGTGTGCCACATATCAGATTTATAAAACGTCAATAAACTTTGATAAACTTCTGTTTGATAAAACCAATATATTTTTTGTGACTCAAACAACCCTTTATAAGGAAAGTTTGAAACTAAATCCTACTAAAACGAATAAAACCGATCCTAGGAATCTAGCCCACGCCCTGTTACCATGGCAACCAGTTCCCGAGCTAATCCTGTAGAAAGGGAGGGCAAATGCAGTCGCTATGGGATATCTCTTTCTCGGAGACCAGGACCGCTAGAAGTCTGATACCTAGGTATTGCGCAGGTCCAGCTGCACTAACATCGATTAAGTTGAACATAAACGCATTATCATTTATTTTTATTCATTTCTTACAGTACACCATATCATATATAAACATTGTCTACACTCTACACTATAAGTTACAATCTATTTAATCTAAAATACATGATAATTACGGTAAACATAAAATGTCTTCCAAAATAGAATAGAAAACGTGTCAATTTTTTTAGTTTACTTAGTAATTACCTAATTAAAAATACTTAACAACCTTTTATTTAATTGATCAGCTCACTGCTGAATATTTCAATATTCTAATATAAAATAAAATTGTAAAGATAGTTTTCTTTAAGCACGGGACAGCGATATCGAACTTGAAATTACAGCGACGGAGCTGATTTCACAAAGCGGTGTGGGCCAAAAACCTGTGAAACGGTTGGTTAGTTTACGGTAAGTTAAACTACGCTTTAACTATCCAGAATAGTGCAACTTACCGCATCCAGGCACTATCGATCTGCCAGTACATCGACCTTAACTATATACTACATAGATTATAAAACTTTTGTACATAACGTATTTAATTGTACATGTTCCGAATAGGATTTTAATTTGCTGAGTACTCTCGTTAATTTCAGCTTTTGAAGCAAATTGAAAGCTTTTTTAAAACTTTTAGTATTTTACCTATGCTTTGATCTTCAATGTTTTGTTAGGTAGAATACTTTCTATAAATCCATCAATATTATTAATCTAACACCAAATAACCCGCTAAATTATGTATTAACGTTTTTAAATTTATATATTCATTTGTTTTAATGAAAAAAAATTCAACTAATTATAAAGCATAGGAAAATACATATAAACATTAGTTATTACTCCTGGCCAACGCCCATATAGTACAGCACTAACCCATTAGGTAATCTTTTTCCAAATATTGACTCACTTTCCTGGGGTGGTCAGCCCCTTACCCCATCCTCTTATGTTCGCCCCAAAGCTTTTTATCACGTTTGTAAAACTAAGATCGTGAAAGGCAATTTCAATATACAAAGGCATAAATCTCCATTTGAAGTTTAATAATCCAAACTTTGATGAAAATATTTTTGATATTTTTTTTTAATTTTTTTTTTATTGTTTAATGTTTGATGAAGCAAGTAAAAACCTTTGAATAAGGGAAGGAATACTAGATTATAACTATACCAATATTAAACTACAAGGTGCCTAAGTAGCATTATTTCCTGCATATGTACTACATATCTAAATGAGATGTGGGTGTGTTATGTCATATCGCATTTCCGTAAGCTATTAGTAACTGGTACCGCAATGCCGAAATCGTTTATTTTATTACTCTCGTCCTACTTTTGTCACGAATGTACTTTTGTTGGTCGATTTCAGATGTACAGACATTTAGTTTGCTCCTGTAAGGCCTTTTTTAGTAGTTTTTTTATATAAACATGAGATTACTAAGCCTGTGAAGTTTTTTTTTGGGTAAATATGTTCTGATCTGTACTACGAGCTTTATTTGTCTAACAACACCCACTAGACTATCTATCTCAATTCTCAGTTGTCGGAATCCAGATTAAAAATTACGTTTTGAAATAAAGACACTTCAAGCATTCTAGCGACTTCATAACGTAGTCTCAATTTTTAAAGCTTTTCTTTTGCTATATAACTAAGAAGCCATTTTTATTAAACACTTGTTAAGTATGTAATGAATATCTTACTACCCTTCTAATGTCTATTGAATGGTAAAAAAGGGATTAATGTCTGAATAGACACCACAAAACTAACCGGACGAAAAATTAATCAAGCGTTTTAGTGTTTGTGTTGTTTACTAATTGCTGTTCAAGTAAGTTGCTTTAATAGGGTGCTTTAAAATACATTGACCAAAAAGCCGTTTTGAAGACAAACCTTAAGATATATATTTAGCCTATAATCTATATATAAACAATTTTGTTTAGGCCGGTGACACGCTAGATTAAGCATAGACAATCGGAAATAGTTATTGATTTTGCTTGTACAGGAAGTGATTAAACTAAAACAATAAAAATCAACTCCAGCGATTGCTTTGGTGGTATATTAATATCTTGAAGACGCTTTACGGCTTACGTCATTATTGAATAGGTATTTAATTTTTTTTTATTATATTATATGTATATTTAATTTTACTTTTAATTCGAGACTATAATATTAGGGTGGAGAATGTTGACATTATTGTTGCTACAGAAGAGACTTACTACTTTTTGTTTTCTATTCTTGGAAAATTTGCAAAAGAATAGAAAACAAGAAGGGCTTGACTAAATCCTATTTACCTATAGGTATTGATCCAAAATTTACGTCAGGAGGTCGCGAGCATAGATAGACTAACTGTGATTTTTAGTTATTATAATCAGTACTAATTTATCAACTATAAAATTATTTACTTAGTGATTTCGTATTTTTATTTAATTTGCGTGACTGCAACCGACTTTAAGAAATTTGGGTTAATATAAAAATCTCGTGACCCAGAATTTATGAATACAACCTACACTACATTTATTGAAATACTGTAATAAAGTTAAATTGAAAGAATCAACTAATAAAATTAATTTTTCAGAATATCATAAATTATGTGGTTTATAGTATTGTAACAGCTATTTGTTACAGTGGCGTAACTATACCATCTGCGGTCCGTGGCAAATTCTTTTGATGGGGCCCTATCAGTAAAAATCGTCACGTTTTACTCAGTTAAATTTTAATAAACTTTGAGATTTTCCGAGTACTCAATTATACGTTGTATATGTCCGACTAATGGCCATTGGCCATAGGCCTCCTCTTAGGCGAGAGGGAATGGTCTGTAGTTCCCACGCTAGCCCAATGCGTATTGGAGACTTTACATTCATCCATAGAATATAATATCTCTTGGGCAAGAGGGCCCCTGCCCTCTTGGATCGGGGGCCATTTTGCCAGCCCTGCTACCCTATTATTACGCCACTGGAAGACTGATAATTATAAATTATAATAGTAAAAAAAATTGAAAATAGAACTCAATATTTTTAAAATCAGTATTGATATCCATGAAGCTTAAGCAATGCACCGATATCAGGTATTAAATGCTAGAGAATTTTTTTATTTATAAAACCAAGGACCGATAATAATATCAATACAAAGTAAGTCTAAGGAAATTTTCCATTATCATAGTGGCTCCATCTATAAAATAAACATAGCAGTTAAAACGTCCTCTTATGGACTCCCTCTCTCTAGACTCTAGATGGCGTTACTTTAAGAACTCAAGTGATGTTTGCACTTTGCGTCCGCATTCAAAACGAAGTGCCTAATGCCTTAACTCTACCTTCCAATAGCAACAGCTTTATTAATCCCGACGTTTTTGTATACAGGTGGTCAAAGTTTTCCCACAATGAAGACTTAAGTAGTCATAACAAAATTGTCTAATTACTTGGTTTCACAATAAATTATTCATTGAAAAACGTGACGGAAAAAAATTATCTCTGGGCCTTCACTGCTCTAAATGTAGTCTTCTCAAGATTACAGATGTCGCTACTACGGCAACACGCGATACAAAACCTCTTCATACAGATCAGGGTAACTATCGAAAGTTACAGAGGCTCAGGTCAGTTGTATGATATTAAAATCTCATCAGTAATAGAGCAACTTGAGCATCATGCATCATCATCTAAATAAAAAACTAATTATTTACAAGGATATTGCATGTGTAAAACTTTTTCAAATATGTTTGGATAATAGAAGACCATTTTAAATAAAAGATAACTTCATTTATACATTTTTATTGGCAGTTGTGCCTACGCATCGGCAATGGTTACTTCCACTTCTACACCAGGCTCGATATTGATTGATGTGATCTGTTTCACAATCTCTGAGGGTGAGTGAAGGTCAATCACTCTCTTGTGAATTCTCATCTGGAATCTGTCCCAGGTCTTTGAACCTTCACCACAAGGTGTCTTACGGGTTGTGATGCGAAGGATCTTGGTTGGCATGCGGACTGGACCCTGAAATTTAAGTTGGAGTCAAGTAAAATTCATGCTTTCTAATGTTGCTCTCTTCTTAATTATTTAATAAAATATAATAAGTAACTAAAAAAATTTAATAGACACTTGAAAAATGTTGCCGACCTATGAGCAGAATGCAGCATAAAGCATACATTCTGCACTTTGGAATGCAGTAATGTTGCACCAGCTTAGTGAACATTGCACTAAATACAAATACATACAATGTTTTCATGAAGGTGCATTCTATTTACCATTAATAACAGTTACAAAATGATTTATTCGACAAAAATTCACACATGGTAAATAACAGAACGCATATAGATGGAATTTGCTTAATTTCAATATTTATATAATGAGAAAATTTAACCCTATTTAATTAAAGATATTGTATAAACTTGAGTAAAACCAAATTCCTACAGTAAGAGTTATGTGTTATTCTTATACATATATACCAACCTTGACACGCAGTTTTTGTTTCTTAGCTCCATTGATAAGATCAGAGCAGACCTTTTCCAATGAGCGGACATTACGGGATGTCAGGGTAATCCTAATGCGATGAACAGGAGAGATCTCAGCCTGTGGCTTCTCAATGTCTTTGCCTGATACGACAGCGGCTGCCTAAAAATATATATGTACCGAATGATTAGGATTTATAATTTTAATAGTGAAGAAAGTTTGTATCGAGAGCTTATAATAATTATTAATTGATAGCAGTAAAGGGGTGAAGTGGATTAATATCCTGTAAAATTGAAGTGGAGATAAACGCGCGCGCATATAACACGTGTAAACATAACCTAAAACTTCATAAAACGCTATATTTAAGATACCCTTGTAAGATTATAATTTTGCAATATGGAACTTCATCATTATACTTTACCATTTTGTTAAGTTTTCCCGGTCGAGATAAACAACTTCCACGATAAAAATTGCTCAGCGCTGAACCGGAGAACAGCTTCACTCAAAACGTCAAGTTAAAAGAAGACATTTTGTTTTACCAGCCAGTGTTACCATGTTACGCTACGGGTGACCATTTTTCGCTAAAACGCATATAACTAAAAAAAAACTAGTTAAATTCAATTTCATTTAGAATACTTTATGTTTGTACAATTCTTCTAATTGTTTTATAATAATTTAATCATTATACAATATTGTAAATTATAAAGTGCTATCTAGCGTGAGTTCAAATAATAACGATATTGAGTCGAAAGTTGACAATCAATTATTAAAATGGTACATATTGCTCACAAAGCATATATTTTTCTCTCTAAGGGCCGGTTTTTTGATCCGTAGTTAACTCAACTATTGGTAAAAAATCGTTACTATTAGTTAAATATCAGCAAAATGCGTTTTTTGATCCGTGGTAAGAGCATCCAATGGTAAAATATCTAACCATTAGTCAAAAAAGTTAACTACTCAGTATCGGAGGGTTAAAAAGATGGCCGCTGGTAATTTATATAGTAACAGCTGTTTGTCACAGAAATCAAACTATGATAAAAACGTTTATTACTATCTAATGATGAATTTAAACATATGGAGATACTTTAATTAATGAGACGATGAAGAAGACGATAATATTATATGAGAATGTGTTAATGAGTGACCAAAAATATTTAGGCAATGTCATCCGCCATTAGAAACCTGGGATGATGTAGATTTTTGTCACTGTTACCCCCTATCGAAGGCAACAGTGCTCTGGATTGTTACTGAAATTGGGAATGATCTTAAACTGCCAATGAACAAGAGTATATATAGACAGCAGCTCATACCAACCTATTTTGCTTCATTACTAACTACAGAACCGCAGCAGTATATAATTAAGTATATTACTAATTCATTGCCTATAATATTAACTTATAATTATTATAATTAAATAAAATACAAGAACAAGAGTATATATAGACAGCAGCTCATACAAACCTATTTTGCTTCATTACTAGCTACAGAACCGCAGCAGTATATAATTAAGTATATTACTAATTCATTATGTGTTTTATTGCCTATAATATTAACTTATAATTATTATAAGTTAATATTATAGGCAATAGAATACATAATGAATTAGAGTTAATATTATTTATATAATATATACTAATAATATTAACTTATAATTATTATAAGTACATACAAGTATGTACTTATACTAAAAGCTACAGCTACACATTAGTTAGGGACCTATGATATTCTTTAGGGCTTTTATTACATATTTTGTGAGTTAGCATCTACCTACTTTATTACAGGAATTTATAAATAAAACATTTGACTTGATTAATAAACTGTTTAATTATAACTTAAATACAAACCATTTTTATTAAAAAAACATTACAAAATTTACATGAAACCCTAAAGTAGCAATTAAATATTTTCTAATTGTTTCTTCTTGCATTTCACGTCAATTTGATGCAACCTTTTGCTGCACAATATTTATTGTGCCTTTCTTCCATCTGCTGCACACTTTTTGGTGCACCTCCTCTTTATGCAGTATGAATTTTTGGTGGGCCTCTCATTGGTGCAGCAAATGTTTTTGATGCTCTTCCTTAGCATAATTGAACAAATCATCCTCTCTTATTTGTCTTTGTTTCAAAAACTCAATTTTTTTTATCCGTGTGGATCATAATCCGCTTCCTTGTTTCCAAAGGGTTAAAAGATTTTTTCCTTTTGTTGTAGGACACAGCTATACAAGAATAAATATAAAATTGCCTACACCTTCATTAAATGTATATTAAATTTAACACTTCGGTGTCTAGACCCATCTGAGTTGAAAACGTCACAGAGATTTCCAAGTGCATCTTTTTGTAGATTGCTGCAGTGACAGTTGTTTGCAGGTTACGACTGTGTAATCCTTGAGAAGCATCACCAGTTTGGCAGTTTATTTTTTGGCGAAGTTAGCAGTATGGTCCCTTTAACAAAACATAAATGTATTACTTTCTATTACGAAACACAAGATAAACCGGAATAAATAACACGAAAATATGTTTGTACTTACTTATTTGACCGTTGGCTGTTTGCGGACATCGTTATTTATATATTTAAGTATCGTAAAAAGTCTAAACCGTATTAAATCACAGAAAAACAACTTTATTTATATCGTGTTATTTAGATTAATTTGACACTTCAAACTCTTCAAAGCGCAAATAACGAATGAAGATGGCAAAAATGGATTTCATTCACTCAATGTGTCTAGTGTTGTCATACAAAATAAATGTTCCCCACAAAAAAGAACCACATTTTTTGGGATGTCATTGCTCATTGCACTGGCAACAAATTGACAAATTGTTAAGTTTAACTATAGTTAAAAAAGGCATTGAAAAACGCATTTACGATTTTACCAATGGTTATTCATTTAACTATAGTTAATGTAACAAATGGTAAAACCATTTTTTACTACGGATCAAAAAACTGGCCCTAAGGAAAGGAGTTCGTAAATAACTGTTATATAGCTTATTATAACATGGTTTAATAAATGACCTCATCTTAAATTATTTATAAATTAATGTAATAATAGTAACTCTAAACAACACAAACTATTATTTAAACTTAAAACTATGTAAAAAATATTTAATGTGATCCTTGGGTAATATTTATTGATTTCTAGCACTACAATAGATATTTTTTATAATGAACTGAAATATATTTCTGACACTAAACTCTAAACATTATTAAGCATCAAATTTTTCACTTGCTTGTCGAACTTTCTGAAAAAGAATATAAATATTAATAAGAATTTGGGAAGGCTTAATTTATTAGTGACTTGTATTGTTCAATTGTATAAAAAAGTGAGAGCTTAACCAAGGAACTTAAAATTGTGTGTTGTATCAGTTGTGTTTGATACTAAAATATACCCAATAATTATAGCAAGTTACTTACATGGAAGTAATTTGATCACCAGGTAAGTGGAATGGATTACAAATAGCATCAGCATAAAGTGCATGTAACCTCCTTAGTGCAGTTCTTACTTCTGCATCCCTTATGTTACTGCCACTTGGTGATGTGGAGCTAGTCACCAATACCAATTTAATACGTGTATTTGTAACATAACCATAACTGAAATGGAATAGAATATAGACAAATAACATTAACTATTAGCTATAAAATATTCTCCTGGATTTCTGTATTTAAAATACCTTTTCTATTGTTACTTTGTAGATTTAGCACCACTATATGCTGTTTTCATATAAAATAAAATTAGTTACTACATACATTTTATGAGTATCTGTTGAATATAACAAGCCCAAATATAAATCTCTTAAATCAGTACGAGCTGCATTTGTTGCTGTGTTTGCTGTAGTAGTATTACTAGACACTAGTCTCTCTTCTAACGCATCAAGAGCTGTATGAACTAGCCACTGTCTCGATAATTCATTATCCGTGCTTGTGTCATTACCAATTCCCCCAATGTACAAGGGAGCGTTCTGGAAGTAAATATTTCTCTGGTTATAGATACACAGGAATTTAAGATTATTTTTATATGAGCACCGTAAACAAACTCACATCTTTTCCAATCACAGCAACACAGACCGCCATTTCCTTACAATAACAAATATATATCATACAAAGTTAGATTATTTTATTTGATATTAAACACCTTTTAAGTTATGTTGTTGAAGGAAAACAGTTTTCAAAGTACAAACTACAAACTACAAAGTAGAAATTAGAAATACAGGTCACAGATTAGAAACACTAGATGGGACAGACTAACTAAAAAGTGAAATATCAAATATCTTACGAATAAATCGGAATAAATGTATTTTTTGTATTGTAATTATTGAATAATGTAGTTTACCATTCTCACATACGCATATATCCCTAAATTACTACAAAATATTTTAATTCTTTAGGGTACCTAACACATTTCCTTTAACCAGTAAAAATATTTTTGTCTGATTCATAAAAAGAGGAAGTAATTGCATAATGCACATATTCATGTTCAGAATACAGGCCTTAACTTGTGATAACCAAGTAGCATTAAAGTCAACCATACGGTAAAGTCTAAATCGGAACGTATTGCTTCACTACATCCGGGATTTGATTATGAAGGGTGTAATAGAAGTAATATGCACTGAAAATATCAAAGCAGATATCCTGACCTGACGAAACTAATCGTCTCGAAAAAAAAGGATAATTTTTCGAGACGATTAGTTTTTACATATAGATGTTATAAATTAATTCTAACAATTTCACGCTTAAATATTACTGCTTAGTAACCTAACTTATGGAAATAGTTTTATCTATATAACTGTCATGAATCAGCTGGTATTGATTTTGATGTTGACAACTTGACTATTTGACAGATTCAATTCAAATCGTGGCAAAATAAAATATCATTATTGATTATTCATTGTTCAAAGATTTATGATTCAAACTTCATTGTTGTTGTTTTGGTGTTTAACTGTTTAAGTAAAATAACTGAAAATAATTTGGTTTCTTTTAAAACATTTTTAATTAATAAAACAAAAAATTGTTAAGTTCAATGAAATGTCTCGCCATTAATATTTTTTGTTTAAATATATTTTTCCTAAGTTTTCCAATTGACAAATAATTATCATAATTATCTAGCTTAAGCTGCTATCAACTATGTGTTGGCCTCATTAAAATTATGTCGGAGAGTGACGAAAGTGATTTACTGTATGAAATAGATGCACACGGACAAAGCATGCTTGTAAGATCTCTGGAATCAACGCAGCGAGCTTATCTAAGATTTACAAATAAAACATCGCGTCCAATAGATATTTGGTGGCGAGACTTTCGTGGCGTAAAGCGGCATTACGTCCGCTTGGAGGGAGGTAGATATTTTGACGTCAATTCTTTTATAACTCATCCGTGGGAGTTCACAGACGTAGCAACTAAAGAACGGTACGTTATAAATAATAATCCTATTTACCGACCACCTACAAATATTGGCGGTATGATGTTTCGCGCAAATTGGAATATTACAATTGGTGTACGCAGCTTAAGACACACTGTTTTGCTAGCTTTGGCACTACATTTGAAGGACTCTAATGCAGTAAATGCATTGGGTTTACCAAGAGTGCTGGCTGAAGAGTTGCAACGACTTACTATACTGTTTCATATACCTCAGCCTCCACCAAGCAGAGACTGACGACTTATGTTATTTGTATTTGTACTTTTTATTTGTGTACAACTGTATCTGAATCATTCATGTTAAGTATCAATTTTACTACAAGTATTGTGTAAATTACAATTAATTTGAGCTATAGATCATCACCTCTTAATTGTATAAATAATTAAGTAAATTGAATTTGATTTTAGTAATGAAATAATATTTTATTGTAAGAAGTATATTTATGTGAAGGCAGTTGGGCTTTTTTAATAAATAAATAACATTTGTTTAATAAAACTTAAAATAATTAATTACATTTTTCTACAAATTATGATCTGAAAAATTAATCTTTGTAGTAATATTTTTGCAATTTTAGTGAAGACCTCAATTAATGATCACATTATACTCATCTTCCTTCATTGTTGCTTTATTTAATGGTAAGAATGAATATTGTAGACATTCGTAGGTAAGGTATAAATTAAGACCACATTACTTGCATTTAAATATATTTTTGTAAATGTAAAGCAAGTGATAACATTTAAAGCTAAATATGCATATGCAAAATATTTATAAATGTTAATTGTTATTTAATATAAGTAATATGTGCCATCTTTACTGTTAATGTAACTAAATAGATATATGTTTTTTATTGTATTGACATAATAAAATTTCTAGTATAATTATTTTATTTCATTACTTTTGATAAGCATATAACTCAGCCTCCAGGTCCTTCAAACGGGAAATCGCTAAGGCAAAGTCAGAGCACATTGCCAGATTTGGCAAAAGATTGGCCTAACTCCCTTCAGTTACTCGAGCCTTCTACTCTCGCCAAAGCGGTCCAAGGGAATTTTTGTCAGCCTGCCTCCACCACCGCACAGGGAGGATGACTCGCTGGCCCACACTGCGAAGGAGAAGGCCGACCATTTGGGCTGTCTCTTCGCGTCCAACTCGACTTTGGATGACCGAGGGTGATCACCACCATTTCACGGTGAGATTCTTCGATGCCGAAAATCACATTCCGGCAGCGTGCTGTCCGCAAAGCACTATCTTCCTTGGACATTCATAAGTCGAGCGGGCCGGATGGTATCCCCCAATTGTGCTGCGTACATGTGCTCCTGAGTTGGCTCCGGTCTTAACGCGCCTTTTCCGGTACCTGTACTCGCTCGGCACTGTCCCGAAGTGCTGGAAGACCGCATCGATACATCCGATCCCTAAAAAAGGCGATCGCTCTGATCCGTCCAACTATCGCCCAATAGCTATAACCCCCTTGTTCTCCAAAATAATGAATCCATTATTTATGGCCAGCTCTGGAGGTCTATAGAGGGCCACCAGCTGATTAGCGAAGCCAGCTTTGACCTTCTTGTATACTTTACACATAGATGAGCAGAGGCAATTGAGTCCAAGAGGGATGCGCTAGCGGTTAGTTTGGAAATAGCGAAAGCCTTCGATCGGGTGTGGCACAGAGCACTGCTCTCGAAGCTTCCAGCCCGTAGGCTTCCCGGGAAATTATGCGACTGGATCTCCAGCTTTCTGGCCGACCGGAGCATCAAGGTGGTCATCGATGGAGCATGTTCCTCCACCTTAAACCCGAGAACGCTGGGGTTCCACAAGGCAGTGTTCTATCCCCAACCCTGTTTCTTCTGCATATCAATGATATATTGCTACTTAGCAATACATCTTTCTTCTCTTTACACTGGCCGGGCAGGTATTTCTCGGGCAATTGTCGATGAGTACTGGAACAAACTTGTGTCTGGAGTCGGAACTCTACTATGTGGAGTCTCAGACTGGGACAGACTAAACCTAGTCCAATTTAACCTCAAGAAGACACAAGTTTGCGCGTTTTCCGCTAAAAAAACACCCTTTGTCGCTACTCCTCTTTTCGAAGACACTCTTCTTAAAGCCACAGCCAGCATTGGAATACTTGGCGTTGACATATCGAACGACGTTCAGTTTTGCGTTCACTCGGAGGGAAAGGCTAAATTAGCCTCCAAAAAGCTTGGTGTGCTCAGCAAGGCGAGACGATACTTCACTCCGGGCTACCGCTTCCAACTGTATAAAGTGCAAATTCGGAGACACATGGAGTACTGTTCTCACCTCTGGGCAGGGGCTCCTTCCACTTGACCGTATTCAACCAAGAGCGGTTCGAATCGGCGACGACCAAGCCCACTCCGAGCGGCTTGATCCTTTGCCGTTGCGTAGAGATATGGGGTCACTCTTCGTCTTCTACCGCATTTACCATCGAGTGTTCAGAGGAGTTGTTCGGGTTTATACCTGCAGCTGAGTTTCGTCATCGGACGTCGAGGCAGAACACGAAATTCCACCCTTATCACCTCGACGTCCGCCGTTCCACAACTGAGCGTTTTTCAAGGCACTTCGTGGAACCAACTGCCCACTAAAGTATTTCCGAACCAATTCGACTTAGGGTCCTTCAAGAAAAGAGCGTACCAATTCTTAAAAGGCCGGCAACGCACTTGCGAGCCCTCTGGCGTTGAGTGTTCATGGGCGGCGGGGCGGTATCACTTAACATCAGATGAGCCTCCTGCGGCCTGCCCGTTTCCCTGTTCTATAAAAAAAAAATAGATAACTGGTACTTTACTCTCGAGAATGGTCAATTATTTTAGGTATTCAAGGAAAAAAATACATAGACAGTGTATAAAAAATAATTTATTGTATAAAATTAAGTATATAATCACAATTTCAATGGTTTTATATTACTCTGATTTTGTTTCTCGGTGGATGTATGACACTAGGGCTAGGGCACCCCCAGGAATGAACCTTATAAAATTATCAGCTGTTAGAGGACCTAAAGCATACATTCCTGGGTAATTAATCAATTCATGAGTACTCTTGTCTATGGCCACTGGGTTGGATCGTCCATCAACTGGCTTCTTTGGGTCAATACCATAACCTAAACCAGAGCTGTATGGGTTTGTCGGTTGACATTGACAACTCTTTTCCTGCTGTAGATTTGAATATGGAATGATTTCACATTTGCATTCACGGACTGCAAGACCACGTTCAGCCTTGGTGCAGCAAGTGCATGTGTCCCTTTTGTTACAATCTGGTATTGAACATTTTGTACCAATGTTGCCATTTATTTCTGTGTAATTCAAGTACCTGGATTTGCAACTTTGTATACTCTGCCCTAATACAGATTTAAAATAATGCCAGTGGTTTTTGAGAAAACATTGTTTATCATCAATTTTCTTTTCATTACACTTGCACTTCTTTATGTCTATTGTGTTCAAATCAAAGTTTGTTTGTAGAAAAAATAAGTCTGGTTTTGAGCCAATTAGTACTGCAATAATGGATACAGTTAATTCTATAGTCTTGTTTGTTGTTAGGTTAAGTAATTTGACTTTCTTTAGGCATACTTTTTCTTCATCTTCATGCAGCCGAGGTGAATGTAATGTTGTTACCTCAACAATCATATGTTCAGGGAGCGAGTTGTAATTGGGATGATTTCCTGATGGACCGTCACACATCATTTTGTAGACCTGTTGAAAAAAGGAAATTTTAAACCTCTAATAAAAATGCATTCATACACTATTGTTTGGACGTTTATGCAAGTTAACAAAATAAATTGGAAAACAATTATAGTCGTATTTTTAATTTGACGAAGCCAACTGACAGTAGCTAATGTCACTTTGTAAAATAATGTTGCCATATTTAAAGTGATAGTGATACGTTCAGTTCTTTTTCAATCAGATGAATGAACAATGAGTGTGAATAGTTAATCATTTCAAACTATAAAAGAATATTATTTCTATTTCAAAATTGTATTAAAGTGCTCTGATATAAGTTAGGTACTATTAGTATGTAACTACAATCAGTTTTTTGACGGCTTATTACAAAGCGCGGCGCGGCGACTAGTGCCATCACCGATCATTAATTCAGGAGTTTTTTCAATCATTCACTTTGTCACAACACTATTTTTATTTCATTAAAAACTGACAACACCGTAAACGTCAGTTGACTTCGTCTAATTAAAAATTCGTCTATAGTTCCAGTTATCTATATAGACCAATTATCTTTTGTTTCAAGATTATTTGAACTTTACATACTTCTTATTTCTTATAAAATCTTGGGTTTAAAGCTTTATAGAAAATGTTAATCTACCTGGTTATAGTCAGGATAATTAATCAGCGGTAGTTTAGCTAGTGAGTCTGCAGCTGTTCGATGGAGGTGATATACATGGAGATGTGAAGAGCGCGCGAGGCGCACTGCGTCCGCAGCTGACACGCCTGAGCCTACTATTAGTACTGAGCGGTCATTGTCGGAGATCTTTTCTGAAAAAAAAATACATTTAAATGAGTTTTTAGTATAAAAACTACGAAGTTATCTAACAATGTTTGAGAAAATCTAAATTATTTCTACCATTTCTGTAGCTTTTTCAATAAAATACATATTTTTATGTGGTATTTAGAATGTGTTGTTGATTACCTTTGATTATTGTAATATTCATATACAAAACACTGAGCAGTGTTGGTCTAGTGCCTTAAGCGTGCGACTCTCATCCCTGAGGTCATAGGTTCGATCCCCGGCTGTGCACCAATGGACTTTATTTCTATGTGCGCATTTAGCATTCGCTCAACCGGTGAAGGAAAACATCGTGAGGAAACCGACATGTCTTAGACCCCAATAGTCGACGGCGTGTGTCAGGCACAGGAGGCTGATCACCTACTTGCCTATTAGATTGAAAAATGATCATGAAACAGATTCAGAAATTAAGGCCCAGACCTAAAGAGGTTGTAGCGCCACTGATTTTTTTATATACAAAACACTGCTGGTTGTTGTAATATCATTTAAGATTGAATCTAAAAGGTTAAAAGCCTTTAAATTGATGCTTACTAGTATCAAGTAACTGAGCAGCCCTCTCCAAATCACCTAATTGATGTACAGCATGTGTCGAAATGTGTTCAGGAAGTGCGTTTGGTCTGTCGCAAGCACCAGCCGCGACAACCACCCGACGACATACATATCTAAACCCGCGCTGTTCATTGTGGTCATATCTAGAATAGAAAAAAATGTGTGCTTGCCAGGTACTTGGGATTTGTGTAAAATTTTTATAATTATATTATTTGTTACCTAGGATAAACATTCATTTTGTGTATAAAAATAACACACAGATTTTTTAAATACAGTGTAAACTCTTTATAACATCATAAGTTAAACAAACAACTCTATATAACGTAAAAATGAATTGAATTAATTTGGTTTAATACAAAACCCATACCTTAATTCGCTCTTAATAACACAACGGCCTTTCTCTATTACGAAGAAATATTTTCATATTTAGACATCAACAACATACTTAAATGTAATTGTTTTTATCATCTGCTTACAAAACTAACCTATTGAGGTTCCGAAATTTCTAAGAAAGACACCTGAGGTCATAAACAGCCTTCTAGCCTATGTTATTGTATTGCATTAAAGCGTGTGCATTATTCTTAGATTACATTGCCTGTAGAAAATTTTGGTCTCAGTTACTAAACGCGCATCGTCGTGTATTACGTCAGGCAAAGTAAACAGAATATTTGTGTTTAGAATAATTTACCTATTGATAGAAATAAAATTAGAAATTATTGTAATTGGTTAAATTTGTTTTTTCCCCCTCCATATAAAAAAAAACTCTCTATAACGAATTTCAGGGGACCGAGATTGTCTAATCGTTGTAATCGACAATACAGTGTACACTGTATTGTCGTTCATAATAGTACACAGTTACAAAATAACTTTTCATTTCAATTAACTGCAACATTTCAGACTGAGATAATCTAGTTTTTAATTGCATTAATTTACATATTACTATGTGTACATCAAAGAAAACTCATAAATCTTACCCTGAGACGCAATAGCCAGCTCCCCGTGGACAAGCAGGGCTGCAAGGAGCCCCAGGAGTTCGAGGAGCAGCTGTCACACTTGTTACCACGACGCCACAGCGAAAGTAGCGCTGAAAAATTTATCTTTATGTTAATTTTGTTTGTATGTTACCAAACTCCTAGATGGACAATGTTCAAACTTCAAAACAACTATGTTACTTATTGTAATGGATTAACTATAAATAATTTATACTATTACAATATTAAACAGTATTTTTAATTATCAAGATTATTAGATAAGATTAATTAATTAATGAATAAACCAAAATAAGAAATAATAAAAATGTGTGGGAAATATAAAAATGTTAATATTGGGATGCCACTATTATGCCTGACTATTGACATACACACCAAATCAAGTAGTTATTTGTTAATATTAATGTAATATTAACTTTTATTTATGTCCTTCACGAATGCAAAACTTAAACTAAAAACCTGCTTATATTACCAAGCATTCAAATATGAATGGCTTGTATCCTGACAGTTTAAAATAAATTTGATGGATAGTAAAAAGAGCTTTCTTAAAAACTATTTTATTTTATAGAACTACCCTCACCTGCAAATGACAGGCTTGAACATACCGCCGACAATACTCAGCGACGCCACTCGCCGTCAGTCGCTCGGTGGAGTCGGTCGTGTGCGGAGGCAGAGAGAGCCACGCGCCCGGAGAAAGAGTTAATACATTCGGCGGAAACGTGTGCCACGAACCGCCAGGCGGGCCCCTGCCTAAGACTACGTGGTCAATCTAAAATTAAAAAGGTCGTTTTAAATTATAGTTTATTTATTACATATACTATTTTATATATATTAAGTTTTTGGTAATTTTTTTTTTTTTTTTTAATATTATAAAAAAATTAAAAAAAAAGAGGGGGAAAAAAAAAAAAGGGGGGGAAAAAAATTTTTTTTTGGGGGGGGGGGGGTTGGTTTTTTTAAAAAAAGGTTTTTTTTTTAATTTTTTTTTTAAAAAAAAAAAAAAAAAAATTTTAAAAAAAAAAAAATTTTTGGGAAAAATTTTGGGGTAAAAATTTTTTTTTTTTTTTTTTTTAAAAATAGAAAGGGGGGGGGAAAAATATTTAATTTGTTTGGGGGGGGGGGGGGGGGGGAGGGGGGGAAAAAAGAGTACTTTATATATATTAAGATATACGAGAAGGTTTTTATTCTATTAAGGTAGTTGGTACTGCAGTCTACTTATACTAATGATTTATCTTATATTGAACAAATTTTCTAAAAGCCTCTAATGAAACAGAAACGGGTGTGTTGAGATATTTTGGATATAAAAATAGTAAGTAGTCGACATTACCTCAGTAATTTAATTACGTTTTCGTTCTTTCAAGTATAACAATTTGTAGACTATACATACCTCTTTTTCGACGTCATATCGCCATTCAATAAGCGAATCAGCTTGAATCCCCAAGTCTGCGCATGGTCTTAACAAATTGTCCATCTGGAAAAAAAAATTAATTAGAAAACTCATTATGCAACAAAAATCAATATCCATAGACTAAAGACCATTTGTCAATGTCAACGCGTAGATAGCCATGAACTCACCGCAAGGTCTATTTTCCAATTAAATGGCATTGTAGTTTTTGTATAACCTTATTAATATTATACCGATGACATTATTCTAGGCCTATTGTTAAAACCGAAATAAAGTCAAAAAGAGAGAAAAGTCTGCGATTGTTTCAATGGTACATATTTTTTTTTAAACTAGCTTCCTTTTTTACATAGATAATTCTTTAGAAATAAAGCCTATTCCCGACTCAAATCGTTAATTCTGGTCTAAGGGTCGAAAGTCACAGATGTAGCACGATATCTGGCCAGAATTCAACATCAATCAAACAGTTTCAGGAGCTGTCAAACCAATTTTTCTGTACTAAGTTTGGCAGAATGGCTCAAGACGAGATTGTAACTTGAGAATAAATTAAAATATGTTTATTATGGAATATAAGATACAGGTATCACTTATTCCACGTCATTAATTTGTCATAAAGACGTCATTTGAATCGGTAGACACACCTACTCATCTGCAAAAATTATCATCGACATCGGCGAGATATGACTTCCTGGAGACAGAAATGGTATTTCAATTCCTACTGTACATACATCAAACTGATGACTCCTTTTTTGAATTCGGTTAATAATTACATTACAATATATAGTATTTGTTAATTATTTAATTACAACATATAGTATTTGTTAATTATTACATTATATATAGTGTTTGCCTGGAAGAGATCGCTCAAAAGCGATAAGGCAACCGGCACCAGTTGTCCGCCTTTTTATTTAATTATGTTCAATTTTTACTATGTTAATGCAACAAAGTGTTAATAAATAAATTTAAAACTTTGACATAGTAATTTAATAGTCCCTTTTGTAGACTATACATATTAAATTATTTAGTAATTGTGACAAAATCGTTCGTTGCGATGTGAATAACGCCTACTGCCTCTTAGCGATAAAACTTGTTAATGCGTAGAACCGGTCGAGGCTGTGACATAGCTGTAATGCTCTTTTTTATATTGATCGCCTCAAACTTAATTTATTATCTACAGTATCCTTAATGAGTATGCAATAAATAGTATTATATCTATGTTACCATGGTATTTTATAGTGCTATAATATACCATCGCAATTTAAGGTTATATTTAAGTTACTATGCAAAAAAAAATCACGAAAAAAGTGAGCAGTGTTAGCCTAGTGGCTTCAGCGTGCGACTCTCATCCCTGAGGTCGTAGGTTCGATCCTCGACTGTGCACCAATGGACTTTCATTCTATGTGCGCATTTTTTATGGCAACGGAAAATGGTATAAGAGTGTAATAAAAAATATTTACTTAAAAGCTTTATTTGACAACGAAAAAAAAGCGTAGGTTCAGGTAGGTCACAATTATCTTCGTTTATTTTCCGTTTGGGAAGGACATGCCTTTTGGAAGGCAGTTTGGCATATCACCTTAATATTAAATAAATGAGCGCCAAATAATAGAAACCAGAAATACAACCAGGGCCGGATTTATGGGAGTGCAACCGGGGCTACAGCTGCGGGGCTTCAAAAAAAAGGCCCTACAATAGAGACTTCGGAAAAAAAATGTTTTAAATTCCGACTTGTAAACACTAGTAAACAACTTTTCTCTTGTATTATTTTTATATAATTGTTAAATACTACTAAAAATCTACTCGGTTACACAATAAATTATTGATTGAAAAACTCAACTAAAAAAATTGTTAATTTTATTGGGACAATAATTTGGTGCCAGGGGAACTCTACTACTTTGTTGCCCCGAGGCCTCCAGACCTTTAAATCAAACACATTTCGCGTATAAATCTTACGTCACATGTGAAAAAAAGGGGTAAGATTCAGTCTTACCACGAACTATGGACACCTGTATCTCAAAAATGTACTGGATTTCGGGCTAAGTTTCGATTTTGAACCGAGTCGGCTGAAAGGCGAAACTAATTTTTGACCAAAGGCCCTTTCAAACTTATAATTATCTATTACATTCTCGCACGTACTCATCCATAGCTCTATAGCGACAAAATATTACATCTACTAAGGTTTTTAATACAATTATTTTATAGAAGTTACAGTCTAGAGAACCGTTGTGGGATTTAAAGTCGCTGCAGTGCTAATTTCCTTTATTATTGATAATACTGTTACGTCATTATAGTTCCAAGTTATCGTCTTGATATTTAATTTGAAAAAAAAAACGTTTGTGTACTTATGTACCCGCGTTAGAAGTTATACTTCTTTGGCGTAATAATTTTCTTCGAGCACTTTAGAGGGACGTTTCCCTCTTCGAATTGCATTTTTCTTGTCCATTTTAATGGTCACTTCCAATAGAAACGATATAATATGCACTAAACATTATAATTTACAATAAACACTGATTTTAATCACATTGGAATGTTTTCTCGTATAGAAATCATTATTTTGGTTTAAATAAACACGACTGAAAAACACTACGCCATAACAGACAATGCAACTTGTCGATAAATCAGCAAGCGCCAACTAGCGGCCCAGACTGTTTTACCGACGTTTATTTATTTATTTCGTAATCCGTTTGAACAGTTATTCGGGGGGTTGGTTTTTTTTGGGGTTGTTCGGTGTCGGTTTTTTTGTGACGGTGTGCAAGCGCTTCGTAAAAATTTACTCTCATCATTTTCCCCTAACGCGCCAAAGAAGTATAACTTCAAACAAAAAAAAAAAAAAACAAAAAGTGTATAATATTGTTAGTAAAAAAATGAGGCGAAGTAAATAGGATTTACGTAAGTTTAACCGCTACATCGGTCATCTTTCACATACACTCCTATTCTTGTCGACAAGACAATGTTATATTCAGAAACTTAGCGCGTACTATGACTGCCATATGTCAAAAACGTAATAGATACTAGTCACGAAAGCGACACGTGATACCCAAAATTCATTTAAAATTTCAACCTTAGTATCTGTGGGCCAGACAGGTCGACAAACCTGATTACCTTATCTATGTGTGCACATTGACCTGTCTAAAAAAGACATATCTTCCGTGATTTTTATAATTGTCATTCTATTTCTGCTGAGACAGGCCTTTCTATAACCTCTACAAACTGTGTACAGTAGTTGGAAATACGTGGAATACAGATTTCATTAACCTACACAGAAACATTTCATAACTTTATTTCGCTTAAATTAGAATTAACGATTTTCTGAATTTTATATCAGAAATTCTGTACTACATATGTACTGAGGATTTATTGATTCCTGGCGTCACTTTTTCGGGTAAGGCACTTAAGTTAGGTCACTTTAGATACCCTGTCACGTATACGCAATATAAAATTATTTACCAGCAAAGAAATGGGATTCTGACTTCTACCTTCCAGACCTTCAGCTAACTCGACGAGGTCAGCTTCGTATAGGCTCTGTCCGGGAGGCATGTTTGATAATCTGAAATGTTACAAGTATAGCATTTATAGTACATTGAATAGAAAACTTTATTAACCCTACGAAATGTTCCACGTAAAGGAAAAACAATGTTATTTTTAATAAACTTCAAAAAAGGTTTTTGTTTTTGAAGTGAAACTTCTTTAGGCGCATGAGGGTAAAATTTTTACGGAACGTCACGAAGATGTGCAGCGTTTTTGTCGAAGAAAAGACAGAGAGCGAACCTTATACAAATTCTATTTTTAAAATTAAAATTTCGTAAAGAGAATTTATGAAATATTAGTATTTTATATTTTATGCAAAATAATTTATTGAAATCTCAAATGACGAATTGTAAATTAAAATGCCACGTGTTTTTATAATCGAAGAAATAAATTTATATTTTGTATTAATTTTCGACACTTAATATTTTAATGACAATTAAATTCCTAACATATCTTTCTTTTTCCGTCCCTCTAAGTCTCGGAAATCTAGTTTTAGATTTGTATAAATATGAACAAGACTTAAAAATTCGTTTGCCAAAGAAGTATCACTTCTGACATGTATACTTTGTACGCACGCACTTTTTTCTTTTGGAATTTTTTCATATCTATTTAGGCTCGTATTCATGGTAAATATTTGTTTAGCAACAATGTTAAATCAACGTGTTGCGGAGTTGCTGTCAACACTGCGTGTTGCAGATTTGACAACGGCATGTTGACGAGTTCTCGCCCGACGAGCGGCAACATCTGTTTATCAACAATTGTAGACGTGTGTGGACGTGTTTGCGACCGTTTATAAACATGGCAGTAGTGTGGAGCAATGATAAAATAATGCAAATAATATAACTGTTTTAATCAAAAGCATAGAAACAAATAGAACAATGCATTTGAAGAAATTTCTCAAGCCCTAAATATACTTATCAAATTTTCTCATTTCAGAAGATAGTTTCGAACCCACCATCTCTCATCTCAGAAAACACCACTACTTCCTCGGGCAACATTCAAACGCAGACTGGTATGTGGACAACCTATAGTGATTTAAAGTTTCCAGCAACTTCTTGTCGCTCATCAACAATGTCGCTCAACAACATTGATCAACTGTTGCTACACAAATGCTTACCATGAATACAAGCCTTAAGTGTATGTATGTTCGCAAATTTCTCCGAAACTAAATCCTATCGAGATATTAATTTATATAGAAAACCAACCAACCAACTTAGAGAACAGTCAAAGTTCATCAAAATCGGTTCAGTAGCTTGAAGAATATAAGGTAAATAATATTGACTGGTATATAAACTCTTATAAATGTTTGAGTTACTACTATTAACAAATAACGTGGCGTTCTATTGGTAAAAGAGTTTTAAAATTATAGTTAGTAGATAGAGAGATTACCCCCTAAAACACCCCTGAAACTCTACCTTTAAATTATCTGCTAATAATTTTATTGTGTCTCAAAAAATGTTGTTAATATACATTCAATGTAACATACGACTGCTGTGAAATTATAATATAATTAATTATAATAATCTATACTCTTTCATCAAATGTTGAAATACAATATTGAATATATAAAAGGTTTTAATAGCTTATTCATGAGATTTAAAGAATGCTTTTTCACGTTTATTTGTTTTTAAAATGACACGAGGAAAAAAATTGAGGCCAATCAATTTAAGTTGTAGCAAAGTTTAAATACCTGGCTCTGAGCATTTCGTCTATGGGAAGGTCTTCTGGGATTTCCTTCAGATAGGGTACATTACCAGCCAGCATGAACGAAGTTACCATACCGCTTGGTCCATTACCTGTAATTTTATTTTAAATCTTATACAAACGACAATTAATTATAGTAAAAAACTAAATTGTTACTGCTAAACAAAGTCGAAGTCTTCCCGCTTCTTCATATAGATAATAAACTAATAGAGTTTGGTAAGAGAATTATCTCATGACTATTACCCTCAACAATATTATTTATGTATCAATACATGGAGTGCCCATAATCAATAACTTATATCGGCGCCGTATACTGATCCACTTACACATGACATAATACTGATATACATTTTGTAACAGTATACAATGACTATAAATAGAATTACGTAATACAATTTTTACATTACTCTGCTTCAGTTAGTCCAGTACATTCGAGGATGTGTTTTGGGCGATATTCTCAATTTAGTACCTAACACACTCTTGTAGGAATTCACTTGCAAGATTACGTAGAAAGCGATTTGACTTATACCATGTCAAATTTTCAGAAACATTTGTTCCCAATTCAAATGTTTAGGGAGCGTTCAAGTATTACGTCACGCAATTTTTGGAGATTACTGACCCCCCCCCCATGTAACGCGCCGTAACGTTTTTCTGTACCCAAGTATAGTAAAACCACCGTTTCGTTTCGTGACCACCTAGTGGCTCTTTATACCTAAAAATTACCATTATGTTGTGTAAAGTACTGGAAAGTCGAAAATAATATTAACAATAACGCGTAATTCAATCCCCGCCCCGCATCGTAACGTTTTGCAAAAGGACCCCCCCCCCAAATTCTTTAAGTAATACTTGAACGCTCCCTTACCGTCTTTAAAGTAAAAGACTACCTTCCTTTAGAATCTTTTCCTTTCTGTAAAAAGTTCATTTGTTTTCTTTTAATGAAAAATAACAACAGATGTAAATGTGAACCCTATTGTGGGGTTACGGGCCCTTACGTAACGAAACAAATAATTCTCAGGCCAAAATCTTATCAATTAAGTTTAATGATAGTTCAAAACGCTGCCGTAGAAATTTCTAGGGTGTTGTCGATTTTATCAATTAATGAAGTTAATTGAAATATGCCAAGTCCTTCACAAGTTCAATGAATGCGATAATGATTGGTTCAGTTAAGGGCCAATTTCAAACGCATTTTACAGAAACCTAAATTTTATTAAAACAAACGAATTTTTTCGTTATTTAATTACGTTTAATTGTATCAAAAGATATTTTTCTTTTATTTAACGTCTAACGCGGCTCACGCTTAGAAACACTAGGAATATAATAGTATAATTCTTGCTGACTACCGAGCCGGTACTAAGTCGTAAATTGTCTGAATCGTAAAGAATTCACTGAAAACCCGATTTTTTAACAAATATTGTTTAACACATGTTTTTTGGACGTTTATATTTTAAAACGTGTTTTCTATTGACTATGGCTTTGTCCTTAAGTTTTGTTTATTAGTATGGCCTAAGAGCCCAGGACGGCCAGACCTTCGTTATTTCATAAAAGCTGAAAGTAGCAACTGTCATAAGTGTCTGGCAATGGATGACGAGATTTCTAAAGTTATCCTTAATAAAATATAAAAAATTGAGTTTTATACTTTAACGAATTTAACGTACTGCCCAAGTAACCACTACCCAAACTCTATAGTCCCTGGTCGTTCTTACCTGTATAGGGGACGCGCACAGAAGAACTTTCAGCTTTTATTAAATAACGAAGGTCTGGCCGTCATGGGCTCTTGCTCTAGTAGGATTACCAAGTATCTAAGGAAATTCGTCTTCGTTCGAATTTTAAAACATTCATTTAAGCCTCAAGCACTTATAATCGGTATACCCCTCTTAACTCTTTATCTACTTACCTATAACAACGACGTCCTTGTAGACGACGTCATCAGACAATGTGTGTTGACAGGGCTTCATTGTGTCTCGCATTATGATTTTATCATAGAGCATAGACGTTACTTCAAATCACTATAATCTGTTATATTCAAACTGTATTCCAATAAATAACTTATTCAGAACTATCACAAAATGAGTACTCAATCGAATTCTCAATTCACTAAATGCTTTTAAATAATATCACAAGCAGTTTAAAGTCTTACGGACTATTTTAAACTATCCGATGACCCGAGTTCTTCTAACTTTCGAGCCTTTTGCAATGCCACTCTTCGAAGTGACTGTTTTGGCGACAACGTTAGTTATCTGTAACAATAAAAAACATATACAAATTAACAAGATTGGGCTGTGTTGGTCTAGAGGAGTGATTAACTGGGGCTATTCGAAAATTTATTATATGTTTTACTTACTGTTTGATACACAGTAAGTAAAACATATGACATTTTCGAATAGCCAAGTACACTTATGAACGTCAACAGAAAAGATGTTTAATTAATTGTTAATTTACATTTACTACCAGTTCGCAAGTCAAGGGCGTAGAGCGGACAAGATGAACTGGCAAGAAACTCTCCGCCTCTCTTTTTAATTGCTAAGTTTTGAGTCATACAAACATTAGCTATTTTACAAATTAGTTAGTTTTAACTATAATTCCCTAGCCTACCACAATTGTTGAAAAGTTCCTTTAACCGTCTAGTTATTAAAGTAATATGAATGTGGTAGTTTCCAAATTTTGTTCATAAAATTTCGAAGAGTTGTGTTTCCTTAATTAATAGATATCCTACGTTAAGTTTTACCAGAACTCAGGTGATTCTGTGCCTAACCTCCGGTTAGCTAAAAGATTCTTACATAATCGTAAATATCACATAACCCCAAAACCTTGACTCTGCTCGGTCATTCCACTGACCTTCAGGATTTGCAGATAACATTAATATAGTCATTACATGTCTGCATAATTTACAATGACTTGCAGTTCGAAATTTAATATGTTCGTCCTAACATAAATATACAAGCATACTGGTATAGAAATTGTTAAGCAAAACATACAGATACCATACAAAAAAGCACAATTGTGCAAAGGTAAGCATGACATTCATATTTGATATTAGAATACAATCAGTCACTGTCAATATATCTTCATGTATCTATAATATATTATTGACTCAAAATTTATTGTCGAATTAATAAACTTTAATAACAATATATTATGGTTGTGTAAAATTGATCTAACGCTAGTCCCCGGTAGTAGATTACATTTCTTCCATGGTACATGATACATGTTTAAAACAAATGGAATATGAGTTATTCACCACCACTATGTGGGCCCAGGTGCCCACTGAAGTATCCGAACCAATTCGACTTAGTTTCCTTCAAGAAAGAGCATACCAATTCTTAAAAGGCAGCATCACTTTACATCAGATGAGCCTCCTATTACATTAAAAAAAATTAAAATAATTGACATAATAGAAAACATTACCAAAAGCGCAAGGCAAGTATTGTATAATTCAATCGTATTATTATGAGCCCAACTATTTTTACACCGCAATTCAATCACACCTCAAAGTACGCGTAGCTCAGAATGTAATCTATAAACTTGCTCACAATGACTTGCAGTTTACGACAACTTGAACTAAAACAAGCATTCGTCGAATGTTTTGAGAATTGCTATCTTGATTTCTGTGAAACCGAGCTGTGTGAAAGATTGTATATACTATTTTGGGCATTCATTCTCGTTAAACAATATAGTATTTACATTTCATAAGATGATAAATAATTAGTAATTGTTTAATTTACAGGTGCAATAATTATTATCAAGGTTTTAATTTAATGGTTTCCTATAAGTTTAGAGACTGTACGTGGAAGTTTTTAAACAACTTGCTAAATTTTGACTTCCCGAGTCATAGTTCCCGCTCGTTTCTCAATCAACGCCCAAAAGCCAGCAATAAAGCTTTTTCTGGACCATGCTAAGTGTAACATCTCATCTATTTTTAGTGCGTTAACAAGGGCCCGGAATAATTTGTCAATGGGTCTTAATTATATTCACAACCCTAAAACATACGCAAAGCAATGACGTTTTAGAAGTTCCGTATCATATATCTTTTTATTTTTATCTTCTTGATTGTTTATGTCATAAAATATCATTTACTTTTCGTAGTTTTTCCTATTTTTTCATACTATAAATGGGTATTTGGGTAAGGCTAGGGTATTTAAATGCTTAAAGCACCAACCCAATAGTTTATAAAACACCTAATAATGTTTCAAGTCGTCTTAACTAACTAAAAAATTAACAATTAAAAGAAATATATAAGCGATAACGTAAAAATAAAAGTACTAGATAAATAGCCATTTCGCGATTTGGTCGTGTGCCAACAGACAACAGTAAAGGTGCGCTTACACGGGCAACTAAAATTACTCAATTTCAGTCAATACTCGTCAAGTATGACGTCACGACTACATCAAGCAATTTACGGCAACGGCAACAAGCACCAATACTGCGCAATACGATATGGAGGCCAACTCACAACTAGGCAAACTGTCCTACACGGGCAGGTATAATTTTGCTGGGCGGCTTGTAGCGCTTTTTTATATTATTAATCAAAAACAAAAAAGAAAGAAAAGGAATAGGCGTATCTGGGTGCGATCGTTTTTGGCCGCAATATTCATTGTGTAAAGAATTAGATGATATATTATTCAAAAACTTTACTAGAATGTCACGAACAGACTTTGAATTACTTTTGAATAAAGTAATTAGAAATTATTATTATTTAGACCTCTCGCTCTCCCCGCGGAAGCAAGACGGCAAGCCGCAAAACAAACAAGTGCGAATGAGATATATACAAAAATTGCTAGGAATTTCCAAGTCCATTGGATATTCGTCAATTCGTATGTGCGACATTGAGCGATATGTAAAATCTGGAGCAATGAGAAGCAATATCGCCGAAATAATTTATTGACATTTATTGAAATCGCTCCATTAATTGCTCCAGATCGGTCCATTCGTGTCGCCGAGCAATTATTGCCCTCGTGTAAGCGCACCTTTAGATGATTTCATATGTTCCAAATACAAGAAATTCTCACGAAAAATGGGAAAACCGTGACTCATAATCTTCAAACTCTCAAACTTAAACAAAACTGTATAAATAAAGATATCCGACAAATTTTACTTAATCAAATTTAGACATTGATTAATAGCCAGTATATTTTGTGACCATTGTTGGCCTAGTACCTTCAGTTTCTATGTGCGCATCAATACTACTTGTACGGTGAAGGAAAACACTGAGGAAACCGGCATGCCTTAGACCCAAAAAGACGACGGCGTGTGGCAGACACAGAGGCTGATCACCCACTTTTCACATAAAACAAATAAACACGAAACGTGTACAGAAATCTAAGGCCCAGACCCGTTTAGATTCAGAGAAAAAGTTATAACACATGCATCCAAACTTGTCTCAAAATCTTTAGGTTGATTTGACGGGTTTGGGCAATTGCCTTCACATAATCTGTAAATAGGTCAATTGTTTTTATAACGCCCACAAGGAAATCGGTCCGGCTCCAAACCTAATGATTTTGTGACAAGTTTGGATAGGATACGAGCTATTAATTTGGCTAATTTTGACGACTAGTGTTTTATTTGTGCACGCCCACTTAGTTAGTTCTTATAATTTTTAAGCCCTCGTTGGCGGGGCTTTGAATTACTCCCTCAAATTGCCACCTCCAGGGTAGTATACCGGATTTAACGACAAATATTATTTATAGTATAGTAACCCATTGATATATTTATATTTTTACATAGTACTTACCAAGGTTGTGACTACTAATTCATTATAGATCTTGAATTTTCATTCTATTTGTATTGCATAATAAAATCATGGCGGTTTTTTACAAGGTCTATTATTACGTTATAAGGTAATTATATATCTGACGTAATAGATAAAACAATTACCTGGCTACATACATTAACCATAAGCCATAAAGCAAATTTGATTCTCATTTTTTTTAAAGAACAGGGGGCAAACGGGCAAAAAGCTCACCTGATTAAGTGATACTCAATGCCAGAGGGCTCGCGAGTGCGTTTAATATCGCGTAAAGCGGTTCGATAATTATATTTACTTATTTCTTTAATTTTTTAGACTTTTTAAATATGAAAATGTTTTAGCTAGATGCTTATTTTCAGTACTATATATTAAATAGACTGCGCCAATACTAACTCAGACATTTTTGTATGAAATAGGTGACAGAAAAGTATATTAGTTATTTATTTATTAACACTTCGTTGCATACAGAAATATAATACAATTAACATGAAAAGGCGGCCTTATCGCTTTCAAGGGATTCGATAGATTATTGGCAGTAATTTGTATAAAACACATAAAGTTGTTTTGGCTACTCTAGGAAAGATGTGATCTTAAAATTATGAATGTTTAATTTGAGTAAGCCAATACAAGAATTAATACAATTTGTAGAGAATAAATAATCTGAAATGGTTTTAAAACCTTAGTCTATTTCGATGTAGTTCTCAATATCCATATTTGGGAGTGTGGAGGAAAGATGTGCACTTCCTCCAACCTAAAGGAATGATCCTCGACCAGTCTAACTACTGACTGACCGGCTGCAGTGCCTAAGAGTTGTAGGTATATATGCTTAGTTGGAAATACTTCGTTAGCGCGTTCTAATGTATGACGTCATCGTTGTGATTCGTTGGCACAGGTTGTGGCTACAGGGCACATCTTGAAATTGGAAAGGTTGCCACATCAGTTTTGGAAGTCGGAAGCAAAATCCATAAAGAGTTACAAGATTTAGTAATTTTGTATAATATCAATTTTATTCTATCTCGAATATTCCGTAAATTGTAAGGACTTTTATCAAGTCAATTCAATGACTCAGATTCTTAATAAGCCATTTATTACGCCTATTCACCATGGCAACAACTAGTGGCTCAATTGATCGCAATGGAACCAATGGAGGTAGCATCAGCAAATGCGTCATCTTTAAAAATGATTAAAGTTAGAATCGGGATAGACAGATAAAAGCAAATTAAAATAATCCTAGTAAATCCAAAGCAAATACTATCCTCCATGATTGTATTTCTGTCGCTACCATAAATTTGAAAATCACTTAAAGGCCGACAACGCACCCACTAAAATGGATGTACATGGACTGGTATGACTGTAGTTTTTGGGCTTCCCGTAGGCTCGTTTACCCCCCTATCTCTAAACAACCCTGCTGATAGGACTGCCTGGAAGAGATAGCTTCGTATCGGTAAGGCCGCCTGTTGCACCATGTTAATTTTTGTGCAAAAAGTGTAAATAAATAAATAGCCGCAGAACTTAGACCTTACAATCATAATTTTATACCAATTAATTAAATACTAATAAAATATATAGCATATAAAGTCTGAAGCAATGGAGACACAATAGTAGAATCCAAAGCCCCTAAGAAACATTCGCTCACACGATGATTTTGCTGACTGCACCTCTCATCATCCGTGTTCCAAATCAAATAGGAAGTAAGTCAGTGATTATTCTGCCAAAGTCTCTTGCTTCATATTTATTACAAAACAAATGATATGATAATGTCTATTGATTAGAAGACACAAGCGATTCGGTTATGCATAGCTCGGATCGAAATCAAGTTAAATCCGGCTTATCACGAGTTGTAATAGAATTGTTAACATAGAATCTTAATCCAGAACTAGCGACCTCTCGGCTTCACACTAGACATTTTATTTTTGGAAATATAGTCCGACAGACGTACGAATAAATACAAAAATGTCGAACTAAAAAAAATTGCACTCAGAAAATGTTATCAAAATCGATCCAAACGTTTAAAATTACTACACACGCTTTTATATATAGTCTATGCAGCATTCTAAAGATAAAAGATATTATTTTTCGATACAAATTTTGTAAATCTTTCCTCTTTATAATATTATCATAGGTAGTAGAATCCGAGAATTGAGTATCGCTTTGGGTCTTGGTACAAAAATGCTTTCGAAATGTTTTAAACCTAAGAAACTTGTGTCGGCACCTTCTTAATTATATACATACGGAAACTTGACAGAATAATAGAAAATATTGTGTTATAGAACAGTCAGAGACCGCAGCATTGCTGGGGAAAATATTCAGACAGGCAACTTATTACATTGACGCAGGGGTCGGTGCGTGCAATCGACGCACTAAATTCATCTGCTCGCTTTGGACGGGCGGCACAGCAACAGTTTCCCTCAATCGTGTCCCCCTCAAGAGGGTCTGCTACGCTACTGCTAACTTGCGAGTTGCCCAAACCGGTCCGAAGGTCACAGTGGAGTAGTCCCATGCCTTTTGGGTTGAGAGTCGACACTCTTGAACCCTCTCCACGTCATCTTTAAGTGTTACGACAGCCACACGGCACGCTTTGAAAGTGTTCCATGGGCCGTCGTAATAAAGACCGCAGTTAAATTTTTTGATGTTTACAAAAAACCAGCATAATCCTAAATTAGTTAAATAATGTCTCACTTATTCTACTTCTGGAACGAAAAGGACATTTGAGGGAGTAAATAACACAGTTATTTCACGTCTGAATTAACTGTCTGAATAAACAGATAAAACAAATTATTATCTTGGAATTATACATTTTCCCTAAAATCGACATATATACTTATATATATGAATGATATGTTATCATTGATAAGATAAAATATATGCAAAAAAGGCTACATGATCTCACAATTTCGTAATAGATAAGCATTCTACGTCACTTAATTTACCAAAACCTTATTAGCTTAGATTAATTAAAAGAGAATAATTAAACATTTTTCCTCAATTACGAGGGCTTTTGCGGTGTTACTAGAATTATACATGTTACTCATCGGAAAATCATGAATTGCCATAACAGTAACTTCACACTAATTCGATAGAAAAAAAATAACTTAAACATGTTCATTTACCATGCAAAGACAGAAAACTAATTATTTGTCAATAGAAAGCTTATTTACAATTTCAGGCATAAAATCTTAATAAAAAAAATAGACAATTTCAACTAAAGTATCCTCTCGTCTCTTCCTCTCAAATTGTGTATACGCTATGAAAAAAGAGACAATATAATAGATTCAGTTAAAACGGAGCCATTAGACCGATTTATTAAGAATATTATAAACATGTATGAGATGACACAAGCCGAACCCGTCATGTAAAATCATTAGTGAAAACAATATTAAAATACTCAAACCACTGGGGGACAATTACAATATTGTCTAACATTTAAATAAATCTTTAATCACGGCGTCCTAGTCAAGGGGAAACGTGCCTAGAATAATTCATTTATTATAATCTTAGTCTGTTAAATAATTTAAATTACTTTAACCAAGTATTGTAAAGCAATTCTACGTGCAAAACCACAAATCTACAGTGTACATAGTGCGAACATTTCCATGAATCACAAGAAATTACAACCTTTTGAGGAGGAAAATAACTTCGAATACTGAGGGTAGATTCGGAGCGTTTAGCGGGAAGGACTATTTTACATCTACATATACAACGACCGCACGGCACGGCGCACGAAGACGGACTGAAATTTTAAAGCTCTACACTTTGCAAAATACCATTTTAAGACAGTTAAATTATGTCTTCAAACAATATCGGATAGTAAGAGTTAATATTCAATTAAAACCTTTAAACAGATTCGGTCATAATATAGCTGTATTTTTTTAACTTAACAGGTATGCAGTAGCATTTATGATTCAATGTCCTTTTTAGTTGTTCAAGTTGTTCAGCTCTCGTAAATCAAATAAAGGACCAACATTTAGCCCATTTTGATGTTTTAAATGTTACGTACCTATTTGTTATTAATTATTAAGCACATTCAAGTGTGTGCTCTTAAAGTATGTGCAATTAGTTTTGAATATTCTGTATGTAAGATTTAATTGTATTGAACTTTGGCATGCACTAGATAAATTTAATAAAACTGTGTACTGTATACAATATTTTAAATAACATTTATCAGGCAGACTTTCCGGAAGATGAAAAACATCGCAGCCAATGGCCAGTTGGAGTGAGTTCTTGAAAAACCTTTTCAACTGGATATATAAAAAATGTTTTAAGAAGAAAAAGAAAAAATTGAAAATACCTCTAGACATTAGAGAGTAACAAACGCTTTCTTAGATTGGCTAAACTTTAACAAACGTTGACTGACGTGACTGAAATGATTGTTTGAAACCGTCAAGTACGTAACTGTATATATTCCATTCGATAAATCATTTCAAATATTGCACAATTAATTTACGACTTAGATAAGGGACGGGCCTTTCATTTATCTATGGTAACGTCGTCATCAGCGCATATAAATAAGTCATATATATAACAGAATCTTCATTAATTGCGCGTAAAGAAATTTTCCAACATAATTGTGATGAATATATTTTTGTAATCCACTTGATTGCTAACACGCGTATAATACTAAGATAAGTTGTTTTTTTTTAGCGATATCTAAGAACCTATAATAAAAAAATCTTAAATTAACTGCGTCTAAAATTTGTGTGAAAATAATTTCGTCTAATTATTTCCTATTCGTGTTTTCTATATTTGTTAAAGCAATATACTTGGCGAGTGGCGATTAATATTCTCGGCCAAGAAGCTATTCAGGTATATGAAACAGTCACAACACGGACATAGATTTTGTATACGTTTGATAGTTTATACAAAATTCATACTTTCGATTATTTATAAGTTTATAACTTAATACCTACGCACACAGAAGGCTGCCAAAGTTTTTACTTTTCTATTGCAAGAGTTTTTTTACATTTTATTCACACTAAAAGGGAGAACAATTCAGCAATTTTTTTAAACAAACTTCGTAAATTCATTTCATTTTTTTAAATAAAATACAGACCTTATATAATGGAAGGTAAGATTTACTCTTAATCAGCACCAATTTATAATCTGGAGAAAAGCATGGAAGGAGACAAATGTTTGATGTCCATTGTTTACTTTACGATGAAACATAAATAAATAATCCTGGCATAACATGATAAAACGATCACAACGTTTGTAACGTTACGAAAGGAAATTGGAAGCTATCCAGAGTTACATCGCATCGTAATTAATCTTATGAAGAATTGAGTATTCATTTGAGTTCCCGACAGTTTTATATCATAGACAATTAGTTTCTACTCAACCAAACCAAACCAAAATACTTTATTCAAGGGAACCAAGTACACTTTGACGCAAGTAAATTAATCGAAATTTACATTTACTACCAGTTCCAAGCAAGGGCGAGGCGGGTAGAGAACTGGCAAGAAACTTCCGCCACTCTTTTTAATCGCCAAGTATGTCATACAAATTGTTTGAACTGGAGCAATTCAACCCAAGGATTAGGATCATTAAGAGTCCTCAAATTTATAAAAAGCTTTGTTGATTAATTTTCGTTTAAGAGGGCTTTGATTTATTTAGTGATAATTCTCTAATTTCGCTTGGGGTTGTTGTAAAATTCGTATCAGTAAGCTTATTTTTCCTTTTTTAATAACCGAGATAACAGGAGCTTCCTGGCATAGACTATTTCAGGAAGTTACACTGCTAGTTAGTTGGCCACAGGTCTGTGCGCACAACGTTCAAACACGTGCGATTTTGGGAAATAAGATATGCTACGATAAAAACATCGCAAGGAAGTTTTCGATCAAAATTACGTCAATCTAGAAAAACAGGCTGATTACCTACTTGAAGCCTCAAGAGGAGCCAATCAATAATATATTATTGTAATTTAAACGAAACTACTAGAACCTTCTTTAATTAACTTTGAGGGTAATTTTCAGAGTCGTAACTTAGCGGTAGGTACAAGTAGCGGCACGAAACTCTAGCGCTGACCGTTATTGCGCAGAAGTAAAAAATAAGGTACCTGAGGGGGGCTATCGGGCGCGCGTAGCGTCGATTGGCTCTCCAGTCGCATTCCGTCCCCCGCGCGACAGTACACATGCGCAGCAATCCCCTCCACGTATCGGCCAGCGCTAGACTTACGCGCCGCTGCCTATATTTACGGATCCCGTGCCCAGACGGAGTACTGCCGCGACCAGAGTATATTATACATGACATAAATTTATGAGCTCCTAAATTTGATTGCGATTTTAGTATTCAAACCTCAAGGCATCAGTCTTAAATGGGTTTTAGCTGGGTTTAATTCTTAACGCCCTGCCAACATTAGTTAAGTACTCCGAACATTTAAAACGGCTAGACATATTATTTTTAGCTGGCAATAAATAGAATATGTAGGTCACAAGTGATTGATCTCTGTGTGACATTGTCTAAATATTATTTTTGTATATTGGGAGGATATTTTGGATATTAGAAGGCATAATTATTAATGCACAAAAACATGTCAATATGATTTCTTTTTATAAATATATTATATAATATTATAAGCATTTGAATAGTTTTTAAGTTTTGGCGTATTGTATTCAGCGTTACATTCATATTTTAGTCTTTTTATTCATCGACTATTAGAAAAATTTATGTAGGAACCAATTTTTTATATTGTTTACGCAAAGGGCGGAACTGAGCTAACCGTGAAAAACACGGAAGTATGTTAAATTTGTTTGCGAACTGATACCTTAAAAACTTATCAAGGGCGAGCGATAATATTTAACAAAAATAATTGATTACAAAGAAGTGAGATGACACAATAGAATTGTTTTTGTCTAATTTATTATTATTTGTGTAACAATCATAGTCGAGATTTAGTGCTTGGTAGTCGGTACCTGGTCTGGTTTCATGATCATTTTTGAGGCAAGTAGGTGATCAGCCTTCTGTGCGTGACACACGCCGACTTTTAGGTCTAAGGCATGGCGGTTTTCCAACTATATTGGAAACCATTTCCATCACCGCATGATGGAGTGAACACATAGAACTCACGTCCGCGTAGTGCGGAGCACGCTTAAACCATCAGGCCAACTGCTTTTAGATTAGATTTTGACATGTACAAGTTTTTAGAAGAAATAACAACAAAATAACCGAATATTTTTTAACACAGTTAAATTAACTAGTTTAAAAGAGACTTTAAACTTATCATAGACATAAGCGTCTACTTTATACTCTTTATACTTTACAGCCCAATTTTATATAAGGATAAACTTTCAATTATATATTTGACAGCACACTTATATACATAATATATAAATAAAACTAATGAATTTATTAAAGCTATCCATTTTTGTTATGATCATTGACTAAGTAATGGTACCAAATACTGAAATTAAAACTAGGCATTAGCAACACATCGCCAATTTGTAGTGATTATCTCAGACTTTTTGATGACATTTCAAAGATTACTATACAACATCATAA